CTATGCTACCAGAGCTCCTAAATTAGTAAATAGTCTCACTGATTTTGCAGACAATTTTTTTTTTCTTTAAAATAAGCAATAACTTATGCTCATTTCTATTGGCATAAAATAGTTTAAGATTTATATTTATTTCTTGAAAATTCTGATATATTTTCTAATGTTCTTTCATTTGGTTTAACTCCAAATATTCAGCATAAAACTTTATTTATGAATTCCACTGATGTGTCCTTGGTGAAGCCATTTAAACTATCCTGGACCTCAGGTTTCCCCACCTACACATAATCTGCTGGTCACTCTCCTAGGAAATATGCAAATAAATATTGCAGTGAAGATTATAAGTGATAAATGCAAAAATATACATAACTTACACATGTTAGTTAGAAATTCAAACATAAACAGTATTAAATTTTAAAAATATTTAGCATTTGCCTGGTAGTATAGTACCTTACCCAGAGATACCTCTTCTCAACACTTTCAGGTATGTATGCCTTAAGACCTTTTTATTCGTATGCTTAGACAAATATGTACACATGCCTAGTTGTATATAAAAGCGATACAGTGACACCTGTGAGAGTCAGAACTAGATGGGGCTGCCTCGTTTTTCCAGATCTTGCAAGTTCTCTACTTTTAACAGGGTACAGTCTTAGCAATTTTCGATTGTTCATTTTAATAGAAAATATTTGAGCTTTCCCTCTTTGACAGGTTTCTGCCTTAACACAGGTTCTGGCTTTTACAGGTTTTATTGTATCATACCATACTGTGTTATCTTCAAGTGTTTCTTTTTCTACTTTATTGTCTTTTGAGCATTTTTCAAAGCCAGCAGTGTAGCTCACTCATGCTTTTGAGTAGCTGTAAAATAGTCAATGCAAAATTATTTGTGTGCTTATTTCTAGAGTGATGGAAATTGGGGTCGTTCTCATTTCTTTTTTAGTAATTAGAAACCTAGCTACTCTGGTGGCATAGTGGGTAAGTCATTTGACTGCTAAGCAGAAGGTTAGTGGTTAAACCCATTAGCTGCCCTGCAGCAGGAACATGAAGTGACGTACTTCCATAAAGATTTATAGCCTTGTAAATCCAATGGGGGTTGCTGTGTGTCAGAATCAACTAGATGGCAGTGGGTTTGGTTTCTTTCTTGGTTGTACATATTCCTACTTGCACAAGAATGTCTACATTGATTGACTCCTAGAAGTGGGATTATTGAATCATAGCATATGAGAATTTTAGAAAATTTTAGAATTTTAGAAAAGATATTGCTACATTTCTCTCTTACACATGATACAAATTCATACACTCACCAACAGTTCTGGTCATTTCCCCACATCTTTGCCAACAATAGAAACTTTTATACCTGTCTAAAATAAAAAGTGCATCTCATTGTTCTTTGTTGCCTTTTTATGCTAACCGGTCCCAAGTTGTTTGTTCACCTCTGTGCCAGTGTTCACATTGTCTGTGAAATCTTACTGCCCAAACAGGTCCACCTTAGATGACCGTCTACTGTGAAGTCCTTCCCAGTGTCTCAGGGAACACTGATCATGTTTTTCCTGGAATTCTATATCTTCTATAAATTACCTCCCAATTGCATTGTGAAATATCTTTTTGAGGATGAAGTCCATTGTCCAGTGTCTTACTTTTAAATTCACTGGTGTCTTGCACATACTAGGTGCATATTGTTGTTGACTTAATGACTGGGTGATATTCTCTTAGGTTCCTTCTAGCTCTACTGCTCTCTAGTGCTATGATTCCATGGCCTGGCATTTGAACATTAGCTGCAGTTTTAGGAGGCAAAGAATCCTTCTTTAACAATGAGCATTAATCCATTTTTGCTTACTCACATGTACATCAGGAATGGGTTTTGTCACCAGGGAGATTCCCAGGACAACCAAGATGGACACAAAAAAGAGGATGATGGCAAAGTAAAGATAGTGCACTCCACAGATGATCGTGGGACAGTCACTGGCAGCCAAGCAACTCCCCGTTCCATAGGTAAACTCTGCAATCATCCGAATGAGGCCAATCACGAGTCCAGTGATTAGGCCCCAGAAAGCTCCCTGCAAAAGAAACAAGAACACAATGAGAATTTTTAGAAAAGATGAGAAGCTCATTATATTAACTCATATTTTCATCCTGCCTGCTTTCCTAACCTTAGGATCCACAAGCAGCTAACCCTGAGCACAAGGTTACCAAAGCAGGGAAAGTCACAAACAGGGGTTTACAAATAGGCTGTTGTTCTTCAGGGCCTGAAACATCATTGCTCTGTCAGTCCTCCAAATCCAGAACCCTAATGTCTATCCAGAGGAAGATAGGGCGATCTACTTCCGTAGTGATACTGCCTTGGAAACCCAAGGAGGGGTCACTATGTGTCGGGTCCAACTCGACAGCACATAACAACAACAACAACAATGTTTATCCTTACACAAGCTGAAGATATTCTTGACTTTTACACACAGATTTTAAGAACTTATGAGTTATTATACGTAAGAAAACAAAACTATGATTTATGTGGCACATTTTATAACTTTATATTAGGTAGTTTTAACCATCCCATTAAGCTTTTTGACAATTAAAAGCATTTATTTCTCTGGGAACTTGGTGGTGATGAAAAGTTGCCATGCTCAATATCTTATGTTTAACAGAAGCAATAATGCACAGAGAGGTGAAGAATATGAACATTTTGCATAAGAAGACCTGAGTCTTCTTCCCATTGACCCCATTTACTAATATTAAGTAATTGTGTGAGGCACAGAGATATTAACCCCTTTGAACCTGTTTCTTATATGAGAATGATAAAAGCAAGGCTAACATCTAGGAACAATTAAGAGATCAGTTGGACATTGTCTGTGATGTTACTATTAGTTGCCATAGAATTAACTCTGATTCATGTTGATCCCCTGTGCGTCCGAGTATCAGAGTGGAACTGTGCTGCACAAGGTTCTCAAGACTGTGACGTATGGAAGACTGTGACCTTTGCAAAACAGATCACCAGACTGTCTTCCAAGGTGCCACTGGGTGGGTGCTTCACCATTTGCACCAGGGACTTCATAGTGGTCTCCAGTAATCAATTAATCAATTATAAATGCACATATATAATACTAATTACTGTAAAGGAAGACTGGACAATCACTTCTGTGGAGATACTGCCTTGGAAACCCAAGGGGGGGTTTGCTATGAGTCAGATTTGACTCAATCAAAATAGGAGAACCTGGATAGAGTGGGAGAAAAATGTGGACCAAAATTCAAAATCATAACAAAAGACCAGGCTTACTTGTCTGATGTAGACTGATGAAACCCTTAAGACTGGCCTCTAGTCCCCCTTTGGCCTGGAATTGGAAGCCTGTGGCTTCCAACCAAACAATAGACAGGTGTATAGGTGAACATTTAAACCAGGTAGGTGCCCTCCTTAGAATGATCAGTCATGGGAGATCAGAAAGGCAGTGTTTGCACAGGGAGACAGCTCAGAGGGCAAGAATGCATAGGAAAGAAGGAGACAGGAAAAAGGTAACCACAGGGAGGAAATGGGAAGAGAGCTATTCCATTTTGGGGATTGTAATCAATGTCATGAAACAAAATGTGTATGAACTGTTGTATGGAAAATGATTTGCTCTGTAAATGTTCACCCAAATCACAATAAAGTAAAAGAAAAAGTATGATTATCTTCAATTTACAGATGAGGAAACTGAGACACAGAGAAGCATGTGTTTTGCTTAAGATCACAATGCTGTTAAGATGGCAGAGTCAGGATTGGACTCTGGCAACCTGACCCCAAAACCTGTTTTGCTTAGCACTGTGCCATATCTGTACATAGTATTTCCTAGGAATATCAACATTGTACTATGAGAGTGTGTTATATAGTTACACACATTAGAGAGAATCAGGAATTGTGGCTGAGAGAAACCAATATTGAGATAGGATTTGAAAAATGTATAAGTTGGATGAAAAGCATTTTACTATCCCAGAAAAACAAACAATGTTTCTCACCTCTTCAGGGAAAAAGTGCCCCGATTTTCACTTACCTGTTCACTGACTCTTTTACAGAAGATGGCAAGTAGGAAGACAGCTGCAATTGGAGGCCCAAGGTAACTAGAAACTGATTCTATATAATGGAACAGTTGTCCATTTTGTGATATCTGTACAAAAGGGATCCACAAAATGCTGATGACAATTAATAAGATGATAAATAATCTGGGAAGAAAAGAAAATGATTTAAATATTAAGCAAAAGAGTTATCAGTATGCGCATTGTGCTTTCGTTCTTGCATTCATTTTTGTAGCCATTCATTGGCTTTCCCAAACAAAATCAAGTCCTTGGCTTCACGTGAACCCACACCCTGCTTTATGATCCTCAGTTATCAATAGAGCAATTTCTTGTCTATGAATAGCTCTATTATCTTCATCTATGTGATTAGAAATCTATTCATAAAAATATTTCATATATCAGCAAGTCATTAGTCATTCCTAATGCAATGTATGTAAGAGCTCTGGTGGCGTAGTGCCTAAGGCATTGGACTGCTGACCAGAAGGCTGGCAGTTCAAATCCACCAGCCACTCCTCGGAAGGGAGGTTGGGCAATCTACTTCTGTAGTGACACCACCTTGGAAACCCAAGAAGGGGTCGCTGTGAGTTGTATCTGATTCTACGGCAGTGTTTAGTTTTGGTTTTATTAGTAATTATTTGTAGGTTAAAGAAAACTGACTCTAATTTTGTCTTTTTTCCTAGCTTGAGGAGAAATATTCATTCATAGGCTAGAATTAAAATGGTTTCTGTCCCAGAATGTTGAGCAATTTGTCAAGAAATACTAATTTGTGCATTTTACTATTTGAGTGTTCTTGCAAGTACAAAGAATTGGTCAACATGTTGATAAGTTAGTAAAATCATATTATAGGCACCCGAGCCCAGGAAGCATAACTCGTTCACCTGTCTAAACCCCACAGCACTCTTTGCTTGTGTGAACAAACATATACAGTGACCTGTGAGAGTCAGAACTCAACAGGATTGCTTTGTTTTACCAGGTCTCACAAGTCTTACTATTATATCACTCTCTATTAGTGGACTAATATTTGAGATTTTCTTCTCTGGCAGGTTTCACCTTACACAGGTTCTGGCTTTCACAGGTTTTACTGTATAATTTATTAGACTGCCCATAGAGAGCCATCATTTCTTGTGCCCACCTGACACTGAGAGGTAGTGATTAGGTGAGGAAAGGAAGAAGCATTTGAGCAACAGAGTCTCATTAAGCTTTATAAACCTTTGTAACCTGGTAAAACTGAAATGTGATAAGCCATGCAAAGTTTTAGCAGAATGCCTGCTATAAGGATTCAACAAATAACATGTTCTATCATTACTGTTATCATTGGAAATCAGATCATGTTCCTTCTAGTCTCTTTGTTTCAATAGCTTCCTATCACATGTGGAATAAAGTCCAAAGTCTCTGTTATGACCTTAAATGGCCCTGCGTGAGCTCTTCAATGATGACCTTTCTGACCTTGTTTCTTATCACTCTTCTACTTGCTGCTCGTGTCCGGCCTCACTCCTTGTTTCTTCTAACACAGCCAATATGACTGTGGGAGGAATACAGGGCAGTCCCTTCCCCTAGAGGGCCTTGGGCTCAGTCCTGCATTTCCTTCAGGCTCTGTTCCAGTGTGCCTCCTCAGAGAGAGCTCCCTGAGTCTTAAAGTGGCCTCCATCTACCTGTCCTTGTCTCTTCCAACAGCTGCGGGCCTGACATTACTTAAAGATCTCTCAATCTTCCTCTGGGTCTAGGATGTTCGCAGCACAAGGACCTTGGGTCCAAAGGACATGCTCTGCTCCTGGCTCCTCTTTCTTGGTGCTAATGAAGTCCTTTCTTCTCTGCTTTCTTCTTTTCCCTTCTATTTCTTGAAAGATAAAAAATGGTGCCAGTCACACTCCAGAGAAACCCCTGCTATATCAAATCAGGGCATAAGGGTGTTGCATCCCTTCTTAATTCCCTTACAACTGATTGGTGATCACATCAGATCACATCTTGATCATGGAGGATGATTATATCATTACATAACTGCCAAATTGTGTTATTATATAATTGCCAAACTGCAGAGAATCATGGCCTACCTAAATTGGCACATAGTGTTTTGAGACACAATTCAATCCATGACATTCCACTTTTTGGCCCTCCAAAATTCATGTCATCGACACATGCAAAATAGTTTCACCTCATCATGTTGTTGTTGTTGTTAGGTGCCATCCAGTCATTTCCGACTCATAGCGACCCCATGCATAGCAGAACAAAACACAGCCCGATCCCGTGCCAGCTCCACGATCCCTGCTATACTTAATTAAGCCCATCATCACAGCCACTGTGTCAATCCACCTCATTGAAGGCCTGCCCCTCTTTCGTTGACCCTCCACCCTACCAAGCATGATATCCTTCTCCAGGGAATGGTCCCTTCTGGCAACATGACCAAAATAGGTGAGATGAAGTCTGGCCATTCTCACTTCCAAGGAGCATTTCTGGTGCACTTCCCCCAGGACAGATCTGTTAGTTCTTTTAGCAGTCCATGGTACTTTCAGCATTCTTCTCCAGCACTACAACTCAAAAGCACCAACTCTTCTTCAGTCTTCCCTATTCATTGTCCAGCTCTCACATGCATACGAGGCGATTGGAAATATCATATTTTTCACTTCTTCATATCATCCCCAAAGTCTTAAATCAACCCCAAGTCCAAATTCCATCCTACAGCAAAATACTTCATCTGTGAATTTAGAATATTAGTTACCTGGTTCCAAAGTAGAATGATAGAACATGCACAAGATAGACATTTCAATTACAAATGGGAGAAATTGGAAGGAAATAAGAAATAATGGGCACCGAGCAAATGAAAAATCCAGCAGAAACATTGACATTAGCTCTCAAGCTTGAAAATACTCCTCTGTTCTCTAAGAGCATCTAGGCAGTGGCCCTCCAGGCTCTGGGTGTGGGCTAAGCTCTCTGGATTCTTGGTGGAAGATCCTCAGCCCTAGGCTTCAGTTCTAACTTCCAAGTCCACTGGGAGAGCAACTCTGCTCCCTCAGCGTTGGGTGGCCCCATTCTCCTAGGCCAACTGAGTGGAAACCCCACCTCCTTGCCCTAGTGGGCCTCATTCTTCTCTTCTTTGGGCAAAGCAGCTGCACCTACTCAGCTTTGGGCAATACGTCTAGCTCCATCTCCCTGGCACTGATGGACAGCAGCTCCATACTCCAGAACTGAGTTGGTAAATATCCGAATCTTTGAAATTTAGGAAGCCATGGCCCCACCCTTTGAGACCCAGCAGGTCATAATTCCAGCCTTTGAGACCTCAGAGGTTGTGGCTCTACCTTCTGAGACTAAGGCAGCTCTGTGTTTTGTACTCCTTGTCTCTTCAGCTTCTGCTTCTTGGTTCCTTGGCCTCTCAGCCTCTCAGTCCCTTGGGCCTCTTGGGCTAGCTCAGATTCTGCCCTGCTTAGGCAAGTGTTACAAAACTCTTTAACTCTACCCATAAGTGCCTGGAGGCACCCTGCTCTGCCAGGAACCCTCCTGCCCTAAGCCACTTGACTCTCTTGCTCCATGGGTTGGCTCCTGTGCCATCTTGCATTGATCTTTTGGTTCTGCTGTTGCCATTTCTCTGCCACTGCTTCTTGCCATCTGTGCTGTCTTCAGTATTACAGCTCTCCTCATTTCCTTCTGAGCCCTCACTAGAATTGCCTTTGATGTCCATAATTGCACCAACTGTCTCTTCAAGGCAATCTAGGCTTTTACTATTAAAAACTTTAAAATTCTTCCAGTTTCTCCTCATTACCCAATTCCAAATTTTTTAAATGTAAAATTCCACATTTTAGGTGTCTGTTAGAACAGCACCCCACTCCTGATACTTTCCTTCTAGTGCTGCTATACAGAAATACTTTAACAAACAGAAATTTATTCTCTCATGGTTTAGGAGGCTAGAAGTCCCAATTCAGGTGCCAGCTCTAGGGGAAGATTTTCTCTTTGTATTTGTTTTAGGGAAAAGTCTTTATCTCCTTTCAACAACTGTGGGCCCAACATTTCTTGGGGATCACCATGTGTCTTGGCATCAATCTTCCACTAGGTCTAGGAGTTTCTCAACACAGAGACCCCAGAACCAAAGGTCATTCTCTGCTCCTGGCTCTTCTTTTTTGGTGGCACAGAGGTCCGTCCTGTTCTGCTTGGTTCTTTCTCCTTTTATCTCTTCTAAGATAAAAGGTGATGCAAGTTGCACCCCAGAGACATCCCGGTTACATTGAACCAAGGCTGTGATCTCTTACTCTAATTTCCTTAAAATTGCTTGGCTGACCACATCTGATCACATCATGATCATAGGGGATGATTACATCATTACATAACTGCCAAACCACTGAGAATCATGGCCCAGCCAGGTTGATACATATTTTTTTGGTGACATCATTCAATCCATGACAGTACCCATTTGCACCAAGAGACACAGACAAAAGTGCTTTTAGTCGCATTATTTGAAATAGTCCCAAACTATAAAATACCAAAATGTCCATCAACACCAGAGTGGATACATTATAATATATTCCTACAATGGAATACCATAAAGCAAGAAAAATCAATAACTACAGCTACACACAACAATGTGATTGAACACAACATGAGCAAAAAAAAGACATACAGCAGGGAATTCATATGGAGTTATTCATACATAGAACTGGAAAACTATAGTGTGGGAGCTCTGGTAGCATAGTGCCTAAGGCACTTGACTGCTAACCAGAAGGCTGGTGGTTCCACTCCTCATAAGGAAGGTTGCGCAATCTACTTCCGTAGTGATACTGCCTCAGAAACCCAAAGAAGGGTCTCTATGAGTTGGGTCCGACTCGATGGCACATAACAAAAATA